TTTTTACACATTGCCTGAGCAGATTTGGCTATTAGAGATACAGCCTAGTACCCACTTGCCTTAGGGAAGAGCTAGGGGCTTTAAGTAATTTTGGAAAATACAAAGAACAATCTTTCTGATGAGTGTGTTTAGAAAAAGAAGCAATAAACCCACCAAGCTCAGTGCTGTTTGACTCAGCTAAGAAGGGAGGAGGCGTTTGCTTTGGCAGAGTATCCTTTCAAATCTCAAGCGGTTCCTTAGGCCAAGATCTTTGGTCTTAGATAAATTTATGATGCAAAAGTGCATTCTCAGCCTTTTTCCAGCTGTTTACAGAAATGAGACATGTCTTAAGGAGATTGTACACAAGACCAATAATATTTTAGTGAGACAGGAAGAATACAGGAGATGGAGAGCTTTATAATAATACATTCATTACCACATGAAGTGATTTAAAAAATGTTTGCATGCCTATATATGACAGATCTTTCATAATAGGTCGCTAATGAATGTTGGAGGCAAAGAACAGGATTCTTCTTTCAGAGAATGGGTAATAGTGTAATGATGGTGAAGTAAATTTAATCATGTTAAATGCAGTTCCTGCTTTTTGCAATTTTGTCACATTTTGAAGCATGTTCACTGAAGAAAGTAATAACTTAGAAGAACTAAACTCTGAAAGCTAATTGTTGTTTCACGTGAGTATTTACTATCCAGAGTGTTCAGTGAACTTGATTGATCTGAGCAATGCAAAAAGGTGAGGCCACAAGCACAAGAATTTTATAGCACCTATAAAATACTATATACAGTTTTTACTCAATTTTATGCTGTTAAACTAAGCATTTGGTATCATATGGCACTTTAAGTACTTTGATTTATGTTAAGACAGAAATTGCATCTGTAATAAACATTTTAAAGTATGAGTTTAAGAGTAATCTACTGTATTTATTTGTGACATAAACACTCACCTGCAATGCATTTGAGAATCGTCTTAGCCTTAACTCACACTGCACATTACAGCCATTAAGCTTCAGGAAACAGCAAGGTCATATCCAAGGTGAAGACAGAAGTGACTGGGAAGAGAGGGGTGGTGTGGCAAGCATTTTGAAATAGCAAATGGGAAAATATTCTTTTTCTCCTGTTCAATGTTCCAGATACATGACTGTAATTTCTTACTGTACTGTAAAGAGTCCTACGTTATACTGAGCAAGATAAAGTACCAATCCAGTCTTGCTTAATATGAAATATTTAAGCACACAGCCATGAAAATAACATGAAAAACCCACTGACATATTTGAATGTAAATATAATCTAATAGCATGAGTTTCAGGTTTATGAAAATTCCCTCACGATGGATGAAAGCACAGAAACCCTTTGTTGTACTGCAACTTGCTGCTGTGCTCCATGTGAAGAATCCTCCCACCATTATCACCTTTGCTATTCTGGTATAGAATTAATTATGCTCATTAGGAGCTGCTTAATAGTAACATGAAGTGGTAATTTTAAAATTATTTAGATAGCTTTTTTAATAGTTTAAATAGCTTAATCCTTCCATCTTTGAATATTTTTTGTATGATAGTAATAGAGTGTTGGTAGAGTGGCAATAATGCAAGTGTTTAGGAATGAATGGAATTGTTAGGAATGAGTGACAGGGATTTACTGGCAGAGTGGGATGTTAACACTTATTTGTTTATTTCTTAAGAAACCACAGAATATGTGAATTCAGATGGATCTCAGGTTTTCCGAGAGCAAGCAGAGGAGAGATCATGAAAAAGCAAGGCACATTATAAAATCATGAGCTTGAAGTTTACAGGGTAGCACAGTTCATTTGGGTAATGACTTAGAAAAAAAAAAAAAAAACCCAAAACAACAAACCCAGTATTCTTTAGTTTAAATAATAAAGTTAGAGAGAGATCACTAAACAGTATTCAACCTTCCAGGTTGCCTGTGCCTTGTCTCACTGTTTTTACAGGAAAAGGAAGGAGACAGTCTTTTTCTGTTCATTACATGCTGACGGAACAGTGGCACACAGGACATCTTAGAGTAAGGAAGCCTTGGACTGTAATATTACAGAGTTTTCCATACACTGAATGGAACAAGAAGATGTCAAGCCAGTGCTTAAAAGTCTACTGCTAAGTTTGCAGACAGTCAAGATGATATCCTTTGCTGAGTATTTATTTTTCCAGGTATCCTTTGTCATGGTACTTGGCAGAGACAATCTGCCACAGTTGTCAGAAGCTCTTAAAACTAATTTTGCAGGGTGCATTTTTTTTGGTCTTTAATGTAAAAAACACTGCAAGAGAGGTGCCCAGCATAAAATCCTGATCCGCAAGTCAGCTTGAAAGATTGTAAAATCTTTTGTGGTAGTTAATTGATTAATTGAAGTGAACCAAATAAGAGCTTTGGTGAGGATATCCCTAAAGCTTCTGAAAGCTGTTCACTTCTATGCCTTCCATTGGTATAAACAGCTGAATCTGGGCCATAATATTATCATCCTACATCAGAAATTGCAGTTTAATAGGTCTACTCACTATGTGGTTTTCCTATTTCTTTGATTACTGAGCTAGAAAGCCTTTTTTGAGACTTAAGAGATGAAATCTGGGATTTTTAGATCTTCCTTTAAATATCCTCACTGATAAAATTGATCCAAAGTTAGAGAAGACAGATTCTGTGGGGTCCTTTTGTCAAAGTGCTGGCATTGTGTCACTGCCTATGAGAGTTACATGTTAGGTTGATTTGAAATCAATATGAAAGTATTATACTTTAAATAATAAAATCAAAGTATTACTGCTTAAGCAGTGATAAAGCATTAAAATGGCACCTCTGAGTGTGTGCTGGTTACCTCTCTTCCGGCTTTAACTACTACTTCTCTGAATTTACCTGTGCCTTCTGAACTGACATTTAGAAATAGTCACAGGGACATGTTTCTGATGATACTAATCTGGGACTCTACAGATTTGTTGAGTTTAACTTTGCTGGGTACAACTACCTGGAACTTTATAGCATAGGCTGTTTTGTTTCTTGTTGTGAGAGTTATCTTTCTTGACCTACAGTATAATGTCTCTGAAATACCTGTGATTTAAGATTATGCTCAAAATGGACCAGGAAGGTCTTGAAGAAGCAGCTGTCAGCCATAGAGAAGTCACTTCTTTTGACTTCAGCTCTGTATTTCATGATCAGGGTGGGATGGGGCTCCCTTCACCCATATCAACAAGGGATCCAGATGTGTCCTGAGGCTTCTCAGCGTTTTCTTACCAAGAATGACACTGGGAGTGTAGTCTGGGGGCTCTGGCTTTTTGCAACAGCCATATTTCTGTCCTGGAGGGAAACCAGAGTATGTGCAGGAACAAAAAACATGTTCTGTGGATCACAGAGACCTGGAGAAGTACTGGGTGGTATGACACCGGTCTCCTGGAATAATTGGGCTGGTTAGCTATATTTACACAGCCTTTGCTACATATAACTTCACTTTCCAAAGTTATCCTTTTTATCTGTGTATATATTTCCTTTTCATTATGCCCGCTATGAAACTCAAGGTGATCAGCACGTTCACGCATTACCTTTGAGCTCCCTCAAGCGGCAAGGAAACCCCCAGGTTTGTTGTGCGGGTGCTTTCGCAAAGAAGCCTTGCTGTTGAAGACCGTGTTTCTTAAAAGCGACTATATGAAACTGAAAAAGCTGCTCTGATTTCGAAAAATCTCGACTGGTTCAGGGCAGTTGGAAATGCGACACTATTATTTCACAACATAGTTATCTTTGGACAGTTCTGTTAAAAAAACATGTATCAAGTGAAAAGTAAGCATTTTATGCCCCATAGTAGTTTGTGTCAGTGCTTGTTTGCACTATAGGCACATGGTTCCAGCATGTTTCAAAAACTTATTTTGACTTTCTTGAATGGTTACAGATAGAATTAATGACTGAGTAGCTGGAAGGTGCACATATTGGTTCATGCAATGTCAGGTAAGAGTCGACACTTTCTATCATCCTGAAAAGATAAATAAATCCTTTGGCTTAAATAACAAATATTTCTGCCATCGTGAAGAACATGTTTTAGTCAAAAAGCACCATCCCTCAATTGGTGGGTTCAGGTCATCTTTGGTGTAAGAAGATAAAATTTGATGGAAGACTGGACTGTTTTATATTGAATAAATAGCTTTTTCGAGGGTTTCTCTAATATGGGAATACCTTTTAGGACCTAAAGTAAAAAAGTAAAGTAAAAAGTAAAAGACTTCAAGATCCAAAAGGGGACCATGAAGAAATTTTACAAGCTTTTGTATCTCTATGCTTTTTACAGGACTATTGCAATGTACCCCTTAACCTTTCTTTTTACTTTACTTTTATTTTTATTTTTATTTTATTATTTTATTTATTTGGGGGGGGGGATTGTTGTTGTTGTTGTTTGTTTGTTTGGGTTTTTTGAGTTTGAGACTGGGTACAAGAGGTTTATTCTTCTTGAGTGTCTCAAGAAAAATACTGGGGTAAAAACCCGAAGCTTAACTATGCGAGGAAAAAGCCGGGTGAAGCTGTGGAGGAGGCCAGGATGTATCAGGGCCGAAGTGGTGGCTGCCCTCGGTCCTTGGCACCTCCAGCTCCAGACAGGCAGCATGCGGGATGGGCAAACCTGCCAGCAGGGAAACGAAACACACTTCCCGGGTTTTATGTCTCTAATCAGCCGGAGGGCAGAGATGCACCGTTCTTCACAGACCTCGCTCGCCGTTTGTCAGTGACAGGCCTGCCCTTAACATGCTTTTACATAGAATAGGAGGCTACAGGTGCTGAAACCTGGAATAATGTCCCACCAGCTGCGTGCCTAAGATAAAGTTTTGTCACTGTTGAGATGCTGGGCACGGTTTCTGTAGCTGATGCTCTCACCATACCATGAAGTCTGTTTAGGGGTTTGCTTTGGGGGCATTTGAAGGAGGTTTTTTTGCCGCTGTTAAGCTCCTGTTTAGCTCAGGAGCAGGTTCAGTCCCACCGCCGGACCGCTACCATGGAAACGTGACTCGTAGCTCACGTGAGCCACGGGGCGATCACATGTGTGCCGGTCACGTGAGGCCGGCTGCGATGGCGGAGGAGGAGCGGGCGCTGCTGGGTTCCGTCGGCGCTGATGATGGCGGCGGTTCTGCGGAGCCCGTCCGTTCCCTGTCCTCTGCCTGCGACCCCCGGCGCCTGCCGCACCGGCTCATTGTCCTCGCACTCATGTGCTTCCTGGGCTTCGGTGGGTGGCGGCGGGCGGGGTGCCGGTGCCTGGGGTACTGGGGGCAGGGCTCTGAGGCATCCCCTTCTCTTTGCAGGCAGCTACTTCTGCTACGACAATCCGGCGGCTCTCCAAACGCAGGTTCAGCGGGTGAGTGGCTGTCTTCGGCGAGAACGGGGTTACGGGGCGAGGGAAGCACGGGCAGCGGCCGAGTCGGACAGCGTGCTGCTACTCCTTAAGTAATTTTGCTTTGATAGTTGTTCGGTGTCCCTGTAATTACCTTAAGAGTAAGTACTTTTTTTTTAATTCCTCCCTCCTTTATGTAGGATATGAAGGTGAACACAGCTCAGTTCATGGCACTCTATGCCTGGTATTCCTGGCCTAATGTGGTTCTCTGCTTCTTTGGAGGTTTTCTGATAGACAGAGTTTTTGGAATACGGTAGGTGTGATCATAGTGTCACTTATCTTCAATGAGTGGTAGAACTTAAAGCGCATGTGAAATATAGGCCATGTAATATAGAGTTTTTCAAATTATAATAATGCTTTTCAAATTATAATAACCTTTTCCAAACTTTTTTCACTTGATCTTGGAAATTCCACTGGCATAAATGAGCTTCCTTCTCTTAAATAAAGTTCTTTCAAAAATGGCAGCCTGTACTACCTTTTTTTTAAGGAAGCTGTCAAGTTGTAGCGTTTATTACAAGGATCTTTTATTGCATATTAGTTCCACTTGTTCCCTTGCTGTAGGTCTAATGTGGTGTTTTATAGGGAAAAAGGGTTCTAGCTATGCATTAAATGATTTTAATTTTCTTACAGGTTGGGCACTATAATATTTAGTATCTTTGTTTGTGTGGGGCAGGTAAGTGCAAATGAGAGGGTGAAGGGTGATATTTGTCTGAAGATTCTTTAGTGGGGCTGGGGAGAAAAAGCCCAGATGGCCTTTTGCTTAGTGGTGGGTATTTCAGATGGGAGTAGGCAGGTGAAGAGGAATGAAACGGGTGAGCCCTGGGTTTTACTGGGGCAGTTGGGAACAGATGGGGTACCTGGGAAGAGGGGATCTTGAAGATGAGAGAAATAATGTAAAGGAACCAAATGTTTTGTTTGTTGTGAAACTACTATGTAAGTGTATTTGTGTTAGGTATGATGGGAAAGGTGGAAACACGACTTGAACATTTAGAGGTGTTTAGAGGTGTTCTGAGTTTCAGGGTGGTTCAGGTTGGGTATTGTTTAGCCAGCTGAATGATGACTAAGGCCAAGGGAGCAAAGGCTAAAAGCTAGGAATTAAGTGAGTGTGAAGTGTTTGTGCAGATCTGGGAAAGAAAGAGCATTTTTTATATCTTATTTTGAGATGGTTCTGCTTTGTTCCATACTTCAAATATAAAATCACGATTTTTCCTTAAATGCTTATTTGCCAGGTAGTTTTTGCTTTGGGAGCACTCCTTAATACTTTCTGGCTGATGGATGCAGGCAGATTCATTTTTGGGTAAGTCTAGAAAAGCATAGTATGTGCTGTTTGAGGTAAGGACTGGCCTAGAGAACACTACCATGTATACGTTCAGAGACAAAATTGCTGGATATCGAGGCATGTATAAAGTTGAGGTATGCAAGATCTTCAGTTGGGTTCCCAGTCTAGTTTGAAGTTAGAAAACAGAAAAAAAACAGTACATTCAGTAAGCTGATAAAACTGTGTTACTCCTCCTTTTAATTCATACTTTCCCGAGTCTTTAGACTCAGGAAAGCAACAGGAAATACAACAGGGCTGCTACAGTGGCAGCAAATGAGAGCAAATGTCAGAAGAAAAACCTCCCAGGTGTAAATGTGCCGGAGAATGAAAATGTTAGAAAATATGACCAACTGAACTGGGGGGTGGGCAGATGACTCCATGAAATTCTGACTCCAGGTAAGATGCCTGCTTTTGGTTTCATTTAGGTCAGGTTTTATAACGCTGCAGAAGAGAAATTATAAATCGCTGCTTACTGTTTTAATGTCTCTAAATGACCAAAGGCAATTATAATTGCTTCAAGACTACTTAAGATACCTTGTACTATTAATTATTTTAAGACATTGCAATTCTTTTTTTTTAATTGTCTTTTAAGAATTCTATATATGCATTAGATCTACTTACACACAGATATATTTCTCTAAAATAGTCATCTTGGTATTGCCAGCAGCTGATGGACTGCTTCCTATTGCTTTGCCTGTTGCAGTTAACGTGTTTTCTTTTGTGCCTTCCTTTTTTAGAATAGGTGGAGAGTCCTTAGCAGTGGCACAAAACACATATGCAGTCAGCTGGTTTAAAGGCAAGGAGTTAAATCTTGTGTTTGGATTACAGCTAAGCATGGCCAGAATTGTAAGTGTAAAACTGTGTAGCTTTAATTTGTAGACTTTAGGGTGTGTGGTTTGTTTGGGCAGTGAGACAGGTGGGAAACAACATTTTTAATACTTCTGAGTAGTTTTTGTAGTAAATAGACGAAGGATACACAAGGAAATGGTTTAATAAGATTTCTTAGAACCTGTCAAACTTCTTTAGAAGACTAGTGGTGTTATTAATGTAGACTGCTGGGTGGGACAGTCACATTGCTGTTTTTAATCAGAATGATTGTTGGTACAAGCACTTAAACTGCTGCTAGAGTTGGATTTACACTAATATACCAGGCTGGGAATGAAGAGAGCAGAGACATCCCTCTTCTATTAGAGCTCCTCCAGCAGCCTGTGGTATCTTAAACCAGTGCAGGTTATTTACCTCAGTAAAAGAGAGTTAGATAGTCACAGCTGGGTCAGGCTGTTGCTAACTAGCAGTTGTTGCATCTCAGCTGAGCTGCAGTTAACTGTCTGTTGTTAGCCTTGAGTTTGGAGCCATGGACACCTTTTCTAGGGACAGAAGGGAGTCGGGGGATGGTGCATCTTCCTGGTGCCTGTCAGGTGGGAATCCTGTTTACTTTAACATGTGATGTTAAATTTAGTTAAATTAGTTTCTGAGCCAACACAATTTATAATGTGGATTTATGTCACTTTAATATCTCTGTTGAAACACAGTTATATAAAATTTCAGTTTGTGATGGTATATCGTTGTTACAATTATTAATTTGTTACAAGTGTTGACCAAAACAGCAGGAAATAATTTTATGATTGGTGCTGACAGTTTATGATCCCTGCGTAGCGTCTTACCTGTTTGTTTGAAATGTTGTTCCATAAGCAGTTTGCCTAATGTTCCTTTTGAATTCACAGAATTGTGAAATGCATAATTGTTCACATGAGTCTGTTCTGCCTAGGGAAGCACAGTGAACATGAATATCATGGGATGGATATACTCTAGAGTTCAAGATCTTCTGGGGTATACTGGTCCCAGTACTCTTGGGTTAACTCTCATGATAGGTCAGTAATACTGTGAATTGATGTCACCTGCTATTTTAGGCCTGTGAATTTTAACAGAATGCATTCATGTTAATGATTTCTCACTAATTTGAAAGTAGGATGCGTATGTTTGAGACTAGGAAGAGCAATTCAAATACTGTTTGTATCGATGGCTAATATTCTTATACAGAGTGTATGATTACTGCATCTGCTATAATGCTGTGTGATTTTTTTTTTGCCAAATTCAGGTTTATATCTTATGGAGATGAAACACTTAATGTGCTTTGAGTAAGGGACAGACTTGAGAAAAACTTCTGAAGGTTATCATGTCAAAGCTTGTGTGTAGTTGTCTGATGTGTAGAAGTGAAATTTCCACTGCCTTTGGATCTTTTCCTTTAGCTATGGGTATTGAGGGCCTGGTGCTGGTAACAAGGCACAGGCTTTTTTCTCTTATTACAGGGTGCAGATAAGGAGTGTGGCTGTGCTGAGTGGGAGTGGTGGTAATGTTTTAAATACATATTTTAAAGAAAATGAATGTAGTTACATGTTTGTACTCCAAGGTAGATGTCTCATGTACCAGGCTTCAGTATTTACACCTTATTCTTTGAGTTGTATAGCTGTTGAGTCTTATACATAAGACAAGCTGATGTTAAACCTAATTTTCATTAGATATGTAAAGGTGTGCTAAGCTAGTTGTGCATAAAGCCAAATTGCTGCTTGACTCAACAACTAAACATGGTGCATTGCCTTCTTGCAGGTGGTGTAACATGTCTCTTTTCACTGATGTGTGCATTAATCCTTGCTTATCTGGACAAGAGAGCAGAGAAGCTCCTTTCCAAAGAGCAAGGGAAAACAGGTGAGTGGTGAGGGTGGTGTGGCTTAACCTGCCTTCAGCTTCATTCTGGAGCAAACCCTTTCAGTTACACTCTGTCCACTGTGCAGGTTTGTGTTTTAGGTAATCCAGTGGCTGCTGCGTCTTTTTCTACAGTTATCTTTAATAATTTTTAGTTCCTTTTAATATCAGTAGGAGGTTTTGCAGTTTTAAACACCAGTTTACAGGCAGATGCAGTGTAATCTGCTTTATTTATAAAGCATGTGGAGAGCCTCCCACTTCACAACAATTTGATCTGCATCATTGTGTCTAGAATTTTGTAGGTGTGCAAAGCCACACATCTGTTCTCTGTCAGCATGCGGTGTTATGAGTTTCCGTGTCACAGAATCCCAGAATCCCAAGGGTTGGAAGGGACCTCAAGAAATCATCTAGTCCAACCCCCCTGCAAGAGCAGGGTAACCTAGAGTACATCACACAGGAACTTGTCCAGGCGGGCCTTGAATATCTCCAATGTGGGAGACTCCACAACCCCCCTGGGCAATCTGTTCCAGTGCTCTGTCAGAGAATTCAGACCGAGTAAAAAATAAACTCAATTTGAAGTCCAAGTAAGAGCATTTAACATGAAACTTCAGACATGATTTTTGCTAGCTGGTTAAAGATTTCCTTGAAAAAGTGGTTTGTATTTAATTCTGATGCATAGGACTTTCAGAGGCTTTAGAGAACTTGTACATCCAGCTTAATGTGAAAGAAACAATTTGTTCTTGACTTTGGTACTGTTGATTTTACACTTGTATATTCTTAACTGACTGTGTAAATTTTAAACGAGAGAGTAGACAGTGGCAGGAATATATGCATTAGTAATGACTTGTGATCACCTTAATGTTTAGTCAATGTGGATGAATTTTATCTATGCTTATGCTGGCTGAAACAGTACTGTCTCTTGCCCCACTACAGGTGAAGCGATTAAACTAACTGATGTGAAGGACTTCTCTTTGTCCTTGTGGCTTATATTTGTGATCTGTGTCTGTTACTATGCAGCAGTTTTTCCTTTCATTGGACTTGGAAAGTAAGTATTTTCCACTTATGTAGCTATTCCCCTTGAATGTGGCTAGGGGCTTAACTAGCTACCGGTGAAAATGCTAGCGTTATTGATACTAAAATTTAAGAATCCCAGATGGCTACAGAATCCCTGGTCTCCCAGCAAGTCTGTGCTGTGGTTTGTCATATTCTTCTGTGGCACTGTTCACTATACTTGTGATACAGATAAACACAGCTCTTTGTTTTCCTTATCTGGTGAGTTTTGTGGGAAATGCCATTACTTAACGTAGGTTGAGCTGTCAGAACTCCAAAGCATAATACATGCTCCATTTCCTGATTAGAATTTGGTACAGATTTAAAGCATGGCATGAGTTTTGGTGTGGGAAGCTGTGGACAGCTGTCGTATAGAACTCCATTCATATGTGTAAACTATTAACTGAGACATGGGGGTTTAAATGTAGTTACAGCTTTGGACTGAAGTTCTCTTACTGTGCTCGCTTTGGTATATTTATCATATTGAAACTTGGGGCATTCATGCGTAGTTTTCCCTTTTGAGCCACATTACTTGACCTACAATCTCCACCAAATGGTTTTTGAGTATATTTGGATTTAGAAACAGGTCCCTTGAGCTTAATGCATGTTTTATAGTGAGTGAGATGGAAAAGTCTGAGAGACATTGCAGTCAGTAGTGCAGATGTCTATTTTATGCTTGTGCATCCTTCTGTATTCTAAAAATTCTCACTTCCGTAGAATACCCTTACTGCTAATGTCTTCTTATTGGGTTATATGTTGGTTATGTACTTCGGCTGTTTTCCCGAAATAGTCCTTAAACACAAATTTGTAGAGTCTGATAATAAGCTCCTAAATGAATTACAAATGACGATCTGTGATGGGATGTTAATGTCAAACCTATATAGCTTTAATATATATTTTAAATTTTCTTGTACACTAGGTTCTTGTGTCTTTAATTTTGTGTCTAGCTTAATTTTTCTTTCATGTCAGTGTGCATTTTTCTAAATCTGTTTGTTTTTTTTTTCTTTAGGGTTTTCTTTATTGAGAAATTCAAATTCTCACCTCAAGAAGCAGGTGCAATTAACAGGTATACTGTGGTTGATTTAGTAAGTAAATGTGCTGCTGCTGTTGTTCTAGGGGGATGTGATCTTTGGGCTCTGACCATGTGGGAAGTTCTGGATCTACTGTTGTATGTGGTGACTTGTATTAAGTGGATAGATAGGTTTCAGATGTCTCAAGGCATAATTGTCTTGCGTCTTCACATTGAGGAATTAGAAAAGGCTCTGTCTGAAGGCTGTTGTTTTCTTCTGAGTAACAAAAGCAGTTTAATAGCAACATTAAATAAACTAAATTTTCTTAGTCTGAAGATGATTTTTTGATGTGGAAAACCCCCAAACAAATAAAAACAAACAATGAAACACTTGGTGGTATCTGTTTCCGAAAGCTCTGAGTATGTCACTGTTTCCTTGGATGTTAAATGTTTTCATGTCCTCAGATATTTTGGGGGTTTTGACTTCTGGAGTCTGTTGCTACAGGGCATTTTTGGTGTATTTTTTCTTACGGCCTCACAGGTAACAAGGTAATATGGTGTTTTATCTGGAAACAGCTGTACCGTGTAGCACCTAAAGCTATCCATGGCTAGACAGTGTTCAGTTCTCTTATTTTTATTCTTTTGTAGTATTGTGTATATTATATCGGCACCCATGTCGCCAGTCTTTGGACTCCTGGTGGATAAACTTGGAAAGAATATCATCTGGGTTTTATGTGCTGTAATAACTACTCTTGCTTCTCATATTATGTTGGCTTTTACCTTCTGGAACCCCTGGATAGCAATGGTAACTATTCCTTGTGACTTATAGCTATATATGGTAAAATAAGAAATAAAGTTGATCCTGAATTGTTTTGCATAAGTAGCCACTGTCTTTTGACTCTTTAAAAGTCTTCAAAACCTGTTTTGATATCCCCAACTTTAAGAAGGATACACTATGTGAAAGTAAGTATAAAGGTAGTGAAAAAACAAAGGGTGCATAATACAGGAAAAATTATCATTAGCTGTCTGTGGCCTAAGGATACATTTCTGGTTTTGGTGTTTTGTGGAGAGAGGCAGTAGTTATTTGTGTGTGTTTTGAAGTGGAAAAGACTGGCAGCTGCTGTCTGTGGCAGTAGTTCTATAGCTGTTCAGTGCAAAGAGATGTTCACCTTCTTAGAAGGGTGGGATTAGACTGGAAGTCTGTATGGAGTGGCAATTCCTTGTCCTTTCAGAGAAGTCTTTAGTTCATCCCAGTATCTGTGTTTTGGTGGTGCTCTATTGCAGAGGTCTGTTCTAATGCTTTGTGGACACTACTTACACTAGCTATTGCTAGGTTACTGTGCTAGATGCTTGCTTTTCTCCTGAAACTTGTTCTTTTGGTGTAGCTTTGCTTATTACTGTTACTTAAACTGTCTCTAATATGCTGTATTGGATAGCAGGAAACTTCAATAAAAAACTTTGTTATTGATTTCCCCTTCCGAGGGCAGATTTCCTGAGAAATTGCTTTTGAACTAAGGTTTACAGGCTTAAATACAGTACTTACCAGTTTATCAGGGTTTAAAAACAGGGACCTTGTTTTTCAGGTATTTTCTAGTGCGTTGCAGCATTGATCTTTTCCATTGGGTATTAAAGTCAGGCTCTTAATGGTAATTAGGTAGGGTTTAGTTTGTTAGTCAGTCCTGGAAAAACTTTCTCCTTCTAAACGTGCATATATATTTAGACCAATATTGCGAAAAGTCTTGGGTCTTTTCTTTTTGTTTGTTTCTTTGTTTGTTTTTCTGTCTTCTCCTCCCTTTTGGGAGAAGAGGAAAATCAGTATGTTCATTTATTATAACTTCAGAGCAAAAATGCTTGTCTTCTAATATCTGTTGACTTGTTCTTATTTCACACCAGTGTTTGCTAGGAGTGGCGTACTCATTGCTTGCCTGTGCCCTGTGGCCCATGGTGGCCTTTGTTGTTCCAGAACACCAGTTGGGAACTGCTTATGGCTTGTAAGTACTTAAATCTGTCCATCTGTGCTGCTTTATAGTGACTATGTCCTGATACTATTAAACCACTGAATATCAAGCAGTTACATGTTAATGGTTACTAATTCCTCCAAGTTCCATCTTGCAGGAAGTGTAGTTTCAGGATCTGTGTAGTAGAGCATGTGGTTGTGTAGATCATAGAATGGTTAGGATTGGAATGGAGGTTAAATATCATGTACTTCCAATCCCACACCATGGGCAGGGACACCTTCCAACTAGGTTGCTCAAAGCCCCATCCAGTGCACAGAAACTTCTGCAAAAATGCAGTCATGTGTCTGTCATATGTCATAGTGAATGGAGAGAAGTTAACCTTCTTGTTTGACCAGTGTCATTAATGTTTTCTTTAAAAATGAATTTCTACACAGTGATAATCCTTTGTTTATGTGTTAGCATGCAGTCCATCCAGAATCTCGGTCTGGCAATTATTGCTATAGCAGCAGGGATGATTCTGGACACAAGAGGATACTTGTTTCTTGAAGTCTTCTTCAGTGCTTGTGTTTGCTGTAAGTACTAAAAACACTGAAAGTGAATTCTGGGCATTCAGGAAGCTTTATCAGGCTTTTTTCTTGATATTTCTTGTAAGACAGTAATACCTCCTTTCTTACGGGTAGGTAGAGGTTTCAACTGGGGTGATGTTGAAAGTAACTGAAACCTAGTGAAGTGTTTTGTGGTTTTATTGAAGTGATTTATTGTAAGTAGTTTCAGTGTCTTGAGAAAAGAGAAGTGAGTAAAAGGGTAGGTAAATGATACTCTTAAAGGCTGTGTCTGAGAGCTGTTTTTAATGTAACTAAAACTAGAGCAACCTTTTCTGAGTTACCATGCTACTTATAAGCATAATGTAATTTTCCAAAGGAGTTAAGAGGTGCTGCTGGCAAAAATCTCCCCTTAGTTACAACTGTCATGAAAAATCTTAGTTGTTGCTCAGCTGTATCTTAAGAGGCTGTTCTTCTGTTGTAAATTTGTCAGCTAAAACTGCTCCTCTTTTTTTGTGTTGTTTTGTTTTTGTTTTTTAGTGTCACTAATAGCTGTAGTTATGCTGTATTTTGTGAACCACCTTACAGGTAAGCGTTTTCAGCTTCTCTTGATGCTTGTTTTTATCATAATTCTTGAAGTTATCAAGCTGAGTTTGATAACTTGATATGCAGGTAGTGTTGTATAGCTTGTGGCTTTGGTACCAGGAGCATCTTTTGATGAAGCCAGTCTCTGTAACATCATTTTTGTCAATGCTGTAGTGTCCAACACCCTGAACCTTGCTGTGATGTGAAATCTTGTCACAGGGCAGGGGTACCTGCCCCTTCAGCTGGCTTGAACAGATGTGTGGGATATTCTGCAGCTTTTTCTAAACTGTGCATCAAGCTTGACTGTGTGTATATCTGCAAATATGAAAACTTAATTCTGTAGACTTTTCTTCAAATGTTGGTGTTCTTTCTCAACCGTTTTTTGAAGCGGTTACTCCTGAAGGACCTGGAATGGATATTAATTTATTTTTTTCAAAGTTGATTCCACTTTCTTTAGTTTTCAGGAGTGTTATGGTGAGTAGTAGAGAAATTTTGTTGTTATTCAACAGAAAACTGGATCAGGTTAGAGAGCTTAGTTTGGGTTCTGATTTTGCTTGCTCAGATGATTATGAAAATGTTGCTCTTTACCTCAGGTTCTACTTTTGTACAATTACTCTGCTGATTTCTTTTGTAAAGTGCTCAGGGAACTTCTGTAGCAAGGTATGATATCAAAGATACAATACAAAAAGACCAATTTTAAAAGTTTCAAGTGTATTTTACTTCTGTTGCAGGTGGTGATCTCAACTGGTCTGCAAAGAAAAGGGAAAAACTGCAAAAAGCAGCTGCAACTGAGTAAGTATAAAGAACAATAAAAAACAGTGTCCTTAGGATATGTTTAACCTGAAGTGATTAAATAGATTACTGTCTGAAGTCAGTCTCTTGTAGGTCTGACATTTGTACTGAATGTTATTTTCTTTCTTACCAGTTAGTAGTAGGATTTCACGTTCTTGCCTGCTCTGAATGGATAGAGGAAGTAGCAGTTAACCAGGTGTCCTTTCCTGGCACTCTTCCTTGCTATCTTCTTTGTTTCAGTGGCCCTCCAACTGAATGGAACTGAAGTGTGTTTAAAAAATGTTGTATAGCTTATTTAAAAATGCACTTCATTTATGGTGTGCAACTGACCCAGTTAGCAGCAAACGTGACCTGGTTTAATGTCAGGTAATGTATAGACCAACTTTTTTTGAAGTGTCATTAAAAGCTAGATTGCTCTTCAGAGAAACTGTGCTTCAGTCACTTCCCCTTCAGTTTCAGCTTGCTCCTGTTGCTGTCTTATTTAGTAGTCTTAATTTAGCTTGTCTCTGAAAACTGTGACTTGAGTCTAAATTGCAGTGCTAATGTGAAACGCAGTTTGTGATCACATTTGTCAGATATTGTTGATTACTGTGAAAGAATTCAAATTTTTAGAAAGAAAATGGGACTGGGGTATTTCAATAATGTGGCATCCACTTTCTTTAAAAGGAGATGGAGCACTTGAGGTGTGCTTAGGGCAGAAATTGTCGAAATAGGCAAATTTCAGCTGTTCATCCAATTAAGCAAATTTCATTCTGTGGGAGACTTGTATGTCCTACTTCCTTCTTTACAGAAAATAAGGAAAGTGACACTTCAGAATAGTAACTTGCAAAGTTCTCTTCCTTGGTCTTGACAAAACATGGGTGATGTGTTAAAGGGCCTTTGCTGTGCATAGCCCTAACAGCTGGAATCGAGTACTGTGGCTTTTTAAGTGTTGCTTGATAAAACATGAAGGTATCAGTCCCTTGCTGTTGGGATATCTCCTAAGTTTATCCCCTCTGCACAGTAGAAAGTGTACTTGTTTCTTTTTTTTGTTTGTTTGTTTGCTGTCTGAGAATGCTAAATGAGGGTAAAGCTCTTGATGCATATGGATTGCTGTACAAGGGAGTCAAAGAGTGGGTTTCAGGATAATTGCCTTGTATCAGGGGAAGAGGAAGGGAAAAGCATTGCATGGCAAAGTCCATTTAGATGTCACCTTAAAGGTGAAACAAAAGAACCTTCTGCTCCAGTTTCTCCATTATGTACTTAACATATGTACTTAATTATGTACTGGTGGAAAAGGACCTGGGCAGTGCTGACTTATGGCTGCTGAACATGTATGCCCAGGCAGCCAAGAAGGCCAACAGCATCCTGGCCTTTATCAAGAATGGCTTGGCCAGCAGGGCCAGGGCAGTGATCGTCCCCCTGCACTCAGCACTTTTGATGCCACACCTTGACTTCAGTTCTGGGCCCCTCACTGCAAGAGACACTGAGGTGCTGGAGCAGATTCAGAGAAGGGCAGCAAAGCTGGTGAAGGGACTGAAGCACAGGTCTGATGAAGAATGGCTAAGGGAACTGGGGATGTCCTGAAAAAAAAATCAAAACACCTGTCAGTAAGGTCTAGTTAGGTGACTTGTGGGGTTTAACATGGATTTTTTTTTTTTTTTGGTCCTAATTTGTGGGCTTTTTACACAGCAGTCTTGAGGAAAACTCAAGAAAACTAAAACCTCATCAGACCTGGTGAGCATCCTAGCTTAGCTGTGATGAATATCATCCTTGAGTAAAAAGGTCACAGGCAGTTTTTAATACAAATGCACCAACAAACCCCAAAGCCTTGTACCCAGGAGGAGTTCTCTGTCCAAATAGAGCTGGCCTGTGTGAGATGTGTAACACTTCCAGTATTTACTGTGAAAGATGGCTTTGTATTTGTATATGCTGTGAGATACAGTGCTTTAGAACAGTATTTTCAGTAATTTTTGTTACAATATTTTTTTCAGAAAAGAAATTTGAATAGCAAATATCATCCAGAAGTGGGGAGCATTTGATCAGCATCATGACAACTTGAAGAATTAGTGTTGTGTAGTTTGGTCACTGCACACTAGCTCTTTGGAAAAACCACTAACATACAGGAGGGTTTTACAGTAAATGGCTGAATTTTATGCTTTGTAACCAGTTTTAACCGATACCAAGTTATCTTTTAGTTTGAACAAAGTGGGTTTATAGCATTTTGCACAGTTTAAGCTCTGTCATTGGAGAGGGTAGTCTGCAACCCAAGACAAACATGTTCATTTTAAGGCTAGCCTGAAGTGTCTTTGATGCACAGCATTATCATCTTGAGGGTTGAGATTTCTAAACGTAATGGCATTTAATGTTCTGTAGTAAGGCTCATTGCCTTACAGAGCTTAAAAACGGGTCACTTATTGCCTTTATCACTGTCTTAACACAAACCATTGTCTTAAGCAAAGTGTATTTAGAGCTTCATTTGGTTCTGTTTCTCCTTAAGACTTGTATGGGAAAAGAGCTATTATGCTCTGGTCAAATACTTTTGTAGGAGACTGCTGTTAATTCTGAAGACTGCTGAGCAGTCTTCTATTTGCATTTTTTGACAGTTGATTCCTTTTGTATTGTAATCTTTATTTTAAGGAGTGAAAGCTTGTTTAATAAAGAAATAGTGAAAATTGTTAGAAAAGCTCACTGGGCACATTGTAATCTGTGAAAACCAAAAAGTTTACCTTTCTACCAAAGTCTTGTGATCTAAATAAAAGGAAACTGCAGAAAACAGCCTCTCTCCTTTTTTTACACTGAATTAGAGTAATCCATACACATCTTAGTCTCACTTAATCTGATATCCAGTATTCATCTATAATATTACAAGCATATTCTAGTTATTAAAAATAAAACTGCATACACAAGATAAGTTGCTTGGGTTTGCACTCCTCAGTGCAAATATCTTAAACCAGTTTTCTTTTCCAGAGCAGAAGAACAAGAGAGACTCAGACGTCAAAATGAAGATGACTTGGCTAAGTTACGGCCAAAAGCTGATGACTTTAGTTTAAGGAATAAATATCTCTCCAAACTAGGCGCTCAGGTATTAGTAACAAAGTAGGGGTGTTAATAACTAGGAATAGAACAATGAGAGAATGATTTTAAGACCTCTGTTTGTTTCAAATAGCCAGGAAATCAACCTCTGATTAAAATGCTAAATGTATGCTTGTTCTCAGAAATGAAGTCTCACCACTGGTAATTAAAAATCTAATGAAGAAAATGAGTCAACCTGGTAAGCAGAGAAGCAGGCATATTATGATGCATGATTTTTTTATCTTTTTTCAGCTACCTGATAATTACTGTTCCTATTTATCAACAATGGCACACAGAAGCGTGTTGAAATAGCGTCTTGCCCTACTTGCAAAAGCAGAAATACATGGAAGCTCCTGGTACACAAAACTTTGTTTCCAGTACTGACAGCTACCACAGCAAAAGCAGAGTGATGCACCATGCTTTTCTGCAAACATAGATTCTATTTTTAAAACACTCGGCTTAAGCTTCTCCTCCTATTGCACATGATGCTCATGAAGAACCATCTGGCTGTTTATTTGAACCCATGAGCTATGTACTACAGGCTCCTGTCTAAGATGCTCAGTGAGTAGCTTGAGACAAATGCTAAGACTTTAGCTTAATACACAACAATGTCTGAAATGTGAAAGCTTTCTTTCAGTAATCGAACTGTAGTGAAATGAGCTTTGGTATAGGTCTGGTTTATTCAGCTTCAAGTTGGACAACTTTGTTTCTATATTTGACAATGGTCTGTTTCATTTTTCTTACAGAAAAATGAGAGAAAAGGCTACCCTTCAAGTATTTCAGAGGAAACTATGCAATTCCAATATTACAGTTCAAAAAATGTTAGCTCTTAAATGTAATGCTAGGTCATGGATTTAGCAATAATCTCACGTAAGTCCTGATTAATGTGAAAAATAACATTTTAAGAGGTGGTAACTAAAAACTGTGGAAGTCTGTTGCTGAACAGCTAGTTCCTAGTAACTCCTGCAGAGTGCATTCTTTGATTTGTTATTCATGAAGAGTTGCTGATGTAATTTTGATGTATTCCTAAACTAAGCTAATCTTTCTTTAAAAGGCAAGAGCATCTGGCTGGCTGGAACACTAGGTAAACCAAAGAAAGAGCCACTTGTAGAGTGTGAGGTGTGCAGGCGAGTGAGCTTTCCTTGGCTGTCTTCAGGGAGTCCTTGTGTGCAACAAAATGCTGAAGAGCCTTTGACAGATTGATTGACTGCAGAGAAAGTACTTTGTTATAAACAAAAAAAGTTATATTTGTATTTTATTCTTTTTTTGCCTTCAGTAATTTAAGCAGACCTTCTGGAACTCATGGTCTTAAGGGTTTTTTTAAAGATACTTTTCAGTGAAGATTTCTTTCATGCTCCTGGAAAAACAAGATCATCTTCCTGAAGGAAAAAGGCAGGACTATTTTTGTTAATAGTTCTTTATTTTGAAGAACAATCCACGAAAACCTATGTGAATTATGCTGAACTTGCTGCTGAAGGGGAGTAATACACTGACCTGTGATAATTCTTATTGGTGCTTTCTGTGCTCCCTGTGAGAGCTGAACACTATCAGCTCTGAGACTGGTTGATACACGTCAGTTTGTGTTTCCTTGTAGACTTGTAACTGCTGGATCTTTTTTAATAAAAGCCTTAAGTGGACCCTGGCACCAGTATTTTTCTTACCAAACTGGTTAATGATTTGTTGTTGCCCTTGGTGATTGTTGAGACTTATACATGCATTTTAATTTTTTTCAAGCAAGGATGATTTCTGATTTACCCTGAGAAATGTGTAGAGTTTCTGGGGAAGTGTATATTTGAGGATCCAAAGGCAAAGTTTCCCTCGGTCCCCCCTGCTGATGGGTTGATGCATTTTTCTTCCTCAGGAAGGGAGGGAATTAGGTTATTGTTCTTCATTTCCTTTAGCTTTTCCGCTTTAGCTTCATCTCCCGCTTCCCCCTAATTCTGACATGTCATAGTTGTAGATAACTCCTCCACTATTACCTTTAGATCATCATTTTGTGTGTGGCATGATAGACAGCAACTGTGAACTTGTCTTTTTGAAACTTTATTTTAAGTTGCTAAATTCTCTGTATCCTTAAAAATCTTGCTGAAGTATTGTGGTGGACTTCTGCAAACGGTATAACTTTCTGCATTATCTCAACTCCAAATGCCTTTGCTTTTGCTTCTGAGGGGTTTCAGCCCATTGATTCCCTTTTACCTTGCTTTTTTCAGTTGTGGATATGTGGCATGGGAGTCATCTGGCTTTTGTTCCCTTGTAAAGCCTTCCTCTATCAACAGTCCTTTTGCTTCCAGCCATACATTAGAAAGTCATGATGCCCTGTTTGTCCTTCAGACATCCAATGTGTACTCCATCGTTTCAGGTTGATTATCGAAAGGAAAATGGGGTTTTAAATTCTGAAATGCCGTTTCTTTTTTGGTAGAGAAAATTGGGTTGTGATTGTTGTGGGAGGGATAAGGCCAGCAGCTCCAGCAAGTGAGTGGGCTGCTTGCTTTGGCTAGGGCAGGGACTGTCTGAGCATGTGCTGCTGCAGTGTTACTTGACAATGTCTGTGCAAGTCCTGCTGCAATTAATTTGGAATGCCTCAAGCTGAAAGCCGTTTATCTTTTGCCAGGTAATTTTTGCCCCTCCAAAGCTTCCCTTAATGGCTTCTACCCCCACCAGCCTGAGAAGCTGTTGGTAGAGTACAGAGAATGACTTTCCTGACTTTGATGGGGTTTTTTTGAATACCGAGTTTACGGGTTGGGCCCTACTGGTCTCTAATGGTCTGACTAAAATCTGCTGGTGGATATGCACACTTGTCTGGAGGTATTCATAGAAGAGTTAGTAAACATGGTAATAAACAGTAGTTCAACGTGGTATTTTGTTAAATTTATCTGAGCACATTTCCAAGGGAGATGTAGCTTATGAAGAATATAAATGGTGTTACCTATCTCTGCTATTACTTCTGTGCTCGTGTGAGGTACCCCTGGGCATAGGGGGCTCCCAGAGCTGCTGTGGCTTTTGGGTGGTTCTGTTTTTTTCCAGTGGGTGTGGTGTTTGGTTCTGATTTTATTTTTGTTGTTTTTAATGTCTTTTCTCCTTTTGACATGTCTTTTCTTCAGGGCTTGTTGTTGGATGTTTCAGTAGGCTTTCTCATTTAAAAAACTGGTTAATATTTCATTGTGTATCTTACCACTGTAGGTGCTCTTTTGTTTCTTTTCCTGTTGTGCAGATGGTCAAGCAAAGAGGCAAAGCACAGCTGTTCAAATGAGCTGAAAGGTCCTGAAAGTTGAATGTTATGAAGAAGTTATGAACAAACAGGACCCAGTTTCTTGGGTTTTCTTAAGCTTGCTTTCTCCTGCCTCTGCTACCTTGTCTCTGCTCCTCAGGTGTAAAAGGGAACTGCTTTTCTGCACTTTTTTTTTTGTTCTGATGATGGGGGATGTGGTCAGGCAGTGTCCCAGTTGGTTCATTTGTTGTCAGCCTTGAAGACAATTCCTCTTATGCTTCTAGTTTGTTTTCTAGGTCTCATGTGGCTGGCAGCTCCTCGTGTCTCACCTTGCTTCCTCTCTGAATAATTGCTGCTCCCAGCTGGCTTGAGCAAAGTGTGACTCAGCCATTGTGGGCAGCGGTGGGTCTGCAGTTGCCTGTATTCCAAGCAATTGGCACTTCCTAGGAACAACAAATTAGATTTTTGTTATGGTACCTGCCAAGGTTCTTGCACATTAAGTTTTGTACAGGTAGCTTGTTCCTATCCCATAACTGACATTCTGGGAGGGAAGAAATTGGAAGCTCCATGCTCCTCTGAGAACTGGGTTAGCTATTTTATTGAGTTGCATTTGTGGAGAGAGCAGAACAGCCTGATCCAGACTGTTACTGCAGTGGCAGTGACTGTGCTGTAGGTGCGGCATTAAAATGTGACCATATGGTCATAGAATCATTTGGGTTCAAAAAGAGTGTTCACATTTCTAATTGCCTTATGTTAGGCAAACCCCTGCTTCTTGGCTACTGAACTCCCCGAAACCTTTGGCACCTGCTGTTGTTATGGACTGCAGGGCAGCCAAGCTGCGTTTGAAGATGCTGTGGAGATGCTGTTACCTTTTCTGAAATCATAGAATAGTTAGGGTTGGAAAGGACCTTAAGCTCATCAAGTTCCAACTCCCCTGCCATGGGCAGGGACACCTCACACCAAACCATCTCACCCAAGGCTTCGTCCAAGCCTGGTCTTGAACACTGCCAGGGATGGAGCATTCACAACTTCCCTGGGCAACCCATTCCAGTGCCTCACCACCCTAACAATAAAGAATTTCCTCCTTATATCCAATTTAAACTTCCCCTGTTTAAGTTTGAACCCATTACCCCTTGTCCTGTCACTACAGTCCCTAATGAATAGTCCTTCCCCAGCATCCCTGTAGCCCCTGTGAGTTGTTGAGCACCTTGTGAAGTTAATGCCACCAACTGCTGAAATCATATGCTGTAGAGAAACAAAAATATTGATGCTGCTTTTAGCACTACAGGTAAGGTTAAAAACCCACCCCTTTCCATAATGCATTTAGTGTGAATAGTCCTTGCTAAAGGTGCTGATGTGATGGACCCTACCAAGGAGATAGTAGCTAGGTGGTAATCATCCTTGAGGTAGCTTTATGAAATATGCTCATAGCATTTAAAAAAATTCGTTACCTAGCTAATGGCTGGAGACAACTGCTTGCCTCTGTTCTAGTG